TACTTTACCTAAAGAGTGTTTCTTCCCAGCATTCATTGATCACAGTTATTTTCTAATCACATCAGTTGCATTATTGCAGTAATTCTCCTAAAACCACATTTCTTGTAAATACTCGATCATCATTCAAATACTTCTCTTCATAACAAATGGAAAATTAATTAAATAAATACTTGGTAGAAAAACCCGTATCTTTGTTCGATACACGATATCTTTAACATAGCCTCATAGACATTACTGAACTAAAGCAAAAGATAACAACTGCGACTGCAACCATTGATGTGGCTATGCTACAGCAAACATGGCAAGAGATCAGGTACCGTCTTGATGTGCTTCGTGCGACTAATGGTGCCCATATAGAGGTGTATAAATGAGGTAAAAACAACTTTGAAAACCACCGAGTACAATAGAACAAGTCTGAAAGATATCTTATCAATTGCCTTTGTAATAAATTTTTAAAATTGTAAAAAGACTTTATGGACACCCTGTATATCAATAACTTTATGTACAACAAAAAATTTTGTCTCAAAAGCAACAACAATAAAGAATTGTCTGTCCATCTTACAAAGCTTTGACAAAAAGGATAAAATAGAAAATATGAATATCTTGGATAAATCTTGTTTCCATGATAAATAAGTAACATAAGGTGTTTTTAAAACATGCATTTTGTTTTTATTGTTTCTGTTGATAAATTGTAGAGCATCCTATCCTGAATGTGAATTAAATTAATTTAATCAAGTGCTCAACACTAATAGCTAGACATACACACTTTCGTATTTGTGAAGATGTCAAAAAGGTGAAACTAAATATTTATGAAGTTTGTTCCTCTACAGTAAAAGCCACCCAACCCAAGAAGAAGAAGACAATAAACCAGATATTAGCTGAAAAAGAAGAGAAAAAATTGAAAAAACTGGAAGAAAAAGTAAAAGTATTTTGCTAATATTAATATAAAAAATTGTAGTTCTTTGGATGAAAATTGTATTTTTTCCATTGAAATGATTTTACCAATCAAAGATTACCCTTCTGTTTTGTTTTTAGTTTAATTTTGTTAACATATTTTTGTAATTATATTAGTTATTGTTACTTAATCTTAAATTCTTATTATTTGAAGCTGACTCAAGCACTTTGTTGCGATAGTAGCAGGGTTCAAACGTGTCATGAAAATCCTGGAAACATACTTGGGAATCTGAGGTTATCACTACCACATCTCCCATTTGTTGTATTGACAACAAGACATACTATTGTGTTTATCTTGGTTTCACAAAAAAAAAAGTGGTTCGTGAGATAGGAAAAATGTTGACAACGTTTATCGGTAACATCTGTAGGTGAACAAGTGTCACATGACTATTGGAATAATATTGTTAATGTGAAATAAGCTCAATACTCATTTGACAAAAATCTAAAATATTGCTAAATTCTTAAGTTGGTTTGTGATTTAACATGTAATCATCATATCCCGTGATGACCGTACCCTTGACAACAAATGAAATTAATCAGAAAAAATTGTTTTAAATCGTGTTAAACAAGGTTGTGTTATCATATACAAGAAAGCGTACAGGCTGAACATCACATTGAAATATAAAGGTTTTAATGATAGCAATGGATTCATGATGGGGAAATCGAAGTTTAGTAATGAAGATGGTTGATAAAACATTTTATTTATGTTTTATCAACCATCTTCATTATAAAGGTTTTATTTTCCCACCAGGTTTACAGTTCTTTTTTTTAGGTGAAATCACAGCAGTAAACTGAGCAAGTGTTTAAAAATAGTTGAACGTAACCACAAGATATGCAACATTGTTAATGTGTGCAACAGTATGAGTGTGAATCTTTACTTATTTGGCATGGTGATGTGTTGTGATTTGTGTTCACCAGGTAGTCAGGGGTAAGTGGACTTGTCCTATTGCCAAGTGGAAATAATATGTTCAACAAATTTTATTTAATTGTGGTAACACAAGAGGAACTCCAGACAAAGTACAGTATTTGGGAGAACAGTGTAAGGCTTGATCGCTTATTATTAAAGTAAAGTTGGGAAAAGTTAAAGTATAATTACAAGAATGTAAGTAATGTAGAATTCTTTAACGCTTCTAGAAACGTACAGTCATTTAGAATTTCTTTTAACTGCTTGTTTCATAGTCTGTGGGGGAGGGGTTTAAATAAGTTTTTTCAATATGTCACGTGTTACTGTTATTGTTAGAATATTGTATATGCTGTTAATTGCATTTTTTTTTATAAAATATCATAAAACATTTAATTTTGGTGGAGTTCATGTTCTGTTAAAGTCAATAAATTGGGTCCTTGAAAATGTTTTCAGTTACCTTAATATGTGTAACTAATGATGCTTAGTATCAGAAATTCCAACAGTTAACTTCAAGGTCTGATGTTTAGAAAAGGTTTTGATAATCAGCATACGTATATATATATATATACACTAGTGCAATAAAAGGAGAACTTTATCATTGTAACTTCTTAAAAGAGTGGTGACATGTAAAATTTATTGTTTAAAACAATTGCTTCATCAGTCATGTTGCTTGTAATAAAGTTAAATTAAACAATGGAATTGATGTTTCATTACTTGAGTTTTTCAAATTTTGTGAAATGCCACTGTATAACAGTGTTGAGTTAGATTTTTGGAAAGAGATTTTCACTTGAAATCTTTGTTGTTGTTTTTTTACAGAAAGAAGAAGAAAGCAAGAAACAACTATCACCCGAAGAAATATATGCAGAAAAATTAAAACAACGAGAGATGCAAGAAAAAGCAGATTTGGAATTAGCAAAAGATGCTTTTGGTTTGTACAGTATTAATTTCATCTTTTTAACAGATGTTATATTTACGATGTTGATTATCTAAAATTTTTAAGTGTGCTCAGATAATTCGTATAAATAAAAATAATGTAATTGAAGTAATTGTTCTTAGGAATAACATTTTGTATTTTTTAATGGTATTAATGATATTCACATTTTGTAATAAAAACGTTTTTTTAAGTAATCATATTCAGTATCTGTTAGCATTTTTTAAGGTTTCTAAACTTTAAAGTAATTATATCATAGCATAAATACTGTTGTTGTTTTTAAAAGATAGGTGGACTTAATTTCATTGGCTCCAAGTATGTTACTAATGAAGTGCTATTTCGAAAACAACTGATCAAGTTTACAAATTATGAACGATTTGCTTTCATAAATATAACAAGACTCGACTTTTATCTTATTTATACAAATCTGTTGCGTTCCCTCCAAAATATAGGTGAGAAAGAAATAAGTCAAGGAGTAATAGATTCAATGTTACCATCAACAAAGGAAGAATTTGATGAGTTTAGGAAAGCACTTGTAACAAAAATCTCTCAGGTTGAGGTAAGTGCCGTTTGTTTGGTTGGTTTTCAGCGAAAGCACAATACCATAGAATGTTCTAATGGGGTATTAAATTAGCATGTGATATTTTTGATTTTCATTTACATCTATACATCAGTTTGGAAAATAAATCCTTCAGTTTAGCTATTTTGCTCATAGTTAAGATGAAATAAAATAGTTTGTATAAAAAAATTATCCATCAGAATAAAAAGCCATAATAAATTGGTAGTATATTTACAGTTTCTTATTCCAAGGTGAATTTTTTTACAGTTAACAAAATAAATATACTCCTTACCAGTTATATATATATTAAAATGACCTTGGGTAAAACTTTTAAACTAATAAAAAAATTTTTTACTGTTCTTTAAATCCTACTTTATTCGATTGAGCTGGCAAAATTTGTCTCTTAAAAAAGATTAGCTTGTATAATCATGAAAGTTTCAGTATACAAATTACTGATATAAACAGTTAAACTTGTTAGTTGGTTTATGCATATAAGTGTTAATTGTTACAAAGGTTGTCAGTAGTTTATACGATGGTAGTTTACATGTTAACTCTTTCCACACGGGTCAAAGGTCATGTCATTGCGTTTGTTGACTCGCATTCAAAATGTTATTGTACTACTATTTTATGTCAAAAAGTTTGATATGAAACTAGATTATAATTCAAATTTTATTATTATACATTATTTAATCTCTTAATTTAAAAGTAAATATTGAAAACACTTAAATATCTATTTTTGTCTATCACGTGGTATGTTGAATACAACACTGGTTCAAATTAGATATTTGTGATGTCAAAATACAAAGTCTGAAAAGTGTTGAAAGAATTAAAAGAACTATCGGCAGTTTATACAGTAGTTACTTTTTGCACTTTTACCAGTTGATTGGTGCAGATAGTCCAGTTGCTTTGTGCCAAAAATTGCCAACTGACCAGCCAATTATACAGTAGTAATTTACATGTAACAAGAACAGTTGGAGGTTCACGTTGTTGTATTTTATTTCTTATAAAAGCAATCAGCAAATTATACAGTGGTAATTTACACAGGAATTAACTACAGTTTAAAGATTGACATTTACTTTAAAATGAATAATGATGGTGCATGCCAAGTATTATAATGATTTAACTCTCTCTGCCCAGGCATCCTTTACTGTGCATGTCATAAGATTTTAGTGATTTACATTCACAATTTTATTAATTTACTTTTTGTTCATGTTATATCAATTAGTTTATCATAAAATCTTAGGTAATAATTCGTATTTTATTAGTATATAAGTTTTACGTTATTAATTTGATAAGGAAATATTTAAGAAAATCCTGAATTTCCCCTAGTGTGACACATGACACATTTTCTCTAGACATCTCCTCTTCTCTATTTTATCCACCACCCCTTCAGTAAGTACGAAATTCAATGTAAATTACTCATTATAGTAATTGCTCAGGCATACCATAATTTTTATAGCCTTCAATTTTCTTTGGTTACAGAGTCATCAAATAAAAAATCAGACCCCTCTTGCCACACCTACCTGTCACATCTTCTCTTTCAGGATTTGTTCTCTCTTATGTTTAATTCTATATTATCTATAACCAATAGAAACCCAAAGTTTTCATCTATCAAATGATGTATTATATAACATTGTTTTCTGAATGGAGAATTGTCAATTTCACAGTTTGTACAAGTTTCATTCCCATGGTAAAGATAACAATTAGCTTGGATGATTTTGTTATGGTTCTTGTCGAATAGTTAGAAATACAGAAAAATTGTGATAGTTAGGGAATTGTCTACTTTCTGCATGTTATTATTCTGTGTTCTTTGGTGCATTATTTAATTAAATAAATAAAAAATATTTAGTGCATTACTACTATTAGTATAAAAAAAAGTGGGATTAAATGTCATTGACAATCAATAGGAAAAAAATGAAAACTTGGGTAAGTACTTTATTTCTTTTTCATGTTTATTCTTTATTTATTATGATAAAAGTAACTAAAATGTAAAAATAAGGATCTCTTTAGGTTAGTTATCTCTCAATACACTCTTGGTCAATTTGACCAACCACATGACTTTTTTGTACTCATTTAAAGTCTTTGTAGACTAAATACTTGTAATTCTCAATATGTTGTGTATATCTTCATGAATTTTTACAGGTCTTTCACATACAAAAAATCTTATTTTTCTTAGTGAAGTATTTTTAATGAAATAAAATAAATATTTGACCATGGACATATTGAGTATTTCTTCTGAATAGCCCATCTGCAAAGTAATTTTCATGTTAAAGTTAAAAACACTTTTCCTCATCTCTAATTTCCTTTCTGTAATCCCTAAAACTTCCTAAATGCATTTCAAATGTGTGTGTTTTTTTTTCAGTAAAACTATATAGTCTATCTGTTATTTTCTCTAGCCTATCTCAAAATGGGATGGGTCAATTCAACCAACCTCGTAACCACCAAAAAAAATATCGAAATAAACCTAATTTACCATTTTTTTCTTTCTAGAATGACTTCAAATTGTAACATGAAACTACATTTGTTTTTCATAAGTAGCTCTAAGTTTGTAACAGTATACATATATTTATAATTAAATTTTATTGCCCTTTGAACCATGTCTAACTACTGTACATGTCATTATAAGTTGTAAATCACTCGGGGAATGTGCAGCTCATGTTACACTATCGAATTACATTACCTACGAGCTGCTTGTGTGCGTGCGTCATGAACCATTTTAATTATATTATTATTATTATTACTTATTTTACATAATCTAGTTTTAAATAACTTAAAAAGATCCATATTTTTAGATTTTAGGTACTTTTATAATAATAAATAAAGAATAAATATGAAAAACGAACAATAAAGTACTTAGCCGATCTTCTTTTTTTTTCTTGCCTTCAATTGTCAAGGACAGTTAAGCCTGATTTTTTATAGTAATGAAAGTTATGCACTTAATGATTTTTATTTAATTAAATAATGCACCAAAGAATATAGACTAATAACATACGAAAAGCAGACAAATTCTCCTAACTCTCAAAATTTTTCTAACTGGCTCTCTAACTGTGCAACAAGAGCCATTACAAATTCATCAAAGCTGGTCGTTAACTTTCCCATGGGAACGAATCTTGTACCGTGAGTGAAATTATTGATATTTTGTTCAGAACACATCATTATACAATATGTCATTTGATAGATGGAAACCTTGACTTTCTATTGGTTATAGGTAATATATAATGAAACGTAAGACTATCAACTATGAACTGTCTATGAATTGTGAAAAAGAGGATGTGACAGGTGAGTGTGGCAGGAGGGGTCTGATTTTCTATTTGATAGCTCTGTAACAAAACGAAATTAAAGGCAAAAACATATGGTTTGTCTGAGCAATAATGATTTTATAGAGAGTAATTTCTGTTTAATTTTGTACTTTTTTGAGGGGTAGTGGATAAAATAGAGGTGATGACATGCTAAAAGAAAATGTATCACGTGGGTCACACTAGTGGAAATTCTGGATTTCTCGATATTGCCTTGTAGAA